CGATGCAACACACAATTGTAATAAAGGCACACAAGCAGCTAACCATATGGAGGCAGCCACAGCCGAGAGCCGAGAGGACTACGTGCTCGCACATGCAGCCAATAACTTTGCGTAGACAAAGAGCGAACAAAAAAAAAATGGGAATAATATTAGATGTTGGGCAATGGAAATTGGGAAAACTAGGTGAAAATGAATGCGATCGGCAGAGCTCTTGGTACGACTGATAAGCTGCTTAGCCGCCCCCTCAGCCCATCCCCTAGCAAGCCAACATCACCAACTGATGCAAGTCTCGAGGCACAAGCACACGCGTTGCGTATGGGGTAGCCTTGTGTCTGGTGTGCGTGTGCTCAAAGTTTTTGACAGGCAGCACTCGAGCACCAAACACCGAGCACCCCAAGGTATTAAAAATTACCCCATACCAGCCCTCAAAAGCCACATGAAGTTTAGGGCAAACCATAAAACTGGATTGTGTACTCCCTCGGTCCGTTTAGTTGGTTGCCTGGCGGCTCGCTGCCCTGTCAAGATTATGACACGTTGCTGCAGTTTATTTATAAATGAGCTGCGGTGTCCGTCAACAATCAACTGCTCCGTCGACGGCTCGACACATTTAATGTCTTTGCGGTCAGCTCAATTACCATTGACCATCTAGTGCTTCCGCCTTCTCAACGAATGCAAACGCCTCCGCCAATAAAGAAATGGAGAAAAATAAAATATAAAACATAATATTTCATTTTATTTATAATTTTAAAAATCATATTTTTCTTATCATTTATTAATGATAGTGCATATTTAAAAAATAATAGATAATGTATTTATGATAAAAAAAAACTTTTCTGAAATTCTGAAATAACTCAAAAGAAGATTGTTACAATAAAACATTATTCCCCCCTTTTCCTGTTTGACCATTCTCAAAATCATTTTAAAGATCTTTGTTCCAATTCATTTCACACTTTTCGGAAAATTCCTCCCCTACGGTGGAAATGGCTTTCAAATGCATGTATATATGCACACATGTAAGTAAGCTTGAATGTGTACATAAGTATGTAAGCATGATATTATTGTTTTATGTATGTATGCATATATAAGTTCATGTTTATATGTGTTATTGTATGTTTGTATAAATATAAGAATTTATGTTTGTCTGCATAAATATATGAATATGTGTATGCATGTATATATGCATGTGCGTATGCATGCATGTATGCATGTTTATATGTATATATTATGTGTACATTTATATATGCAAATAAATGTGTGCATATATTTTGTATGTTTATATACAGTTTTAGTTGCGCTGCAAATTCGAGAAATAACTTACTCTTAACTTATGCCCTACTGCGCAGTTCCCATGAGTTCAAGTAAGTCTCCTATATTGGAGGTGGCGGCTGCTACTAAAGAGGAGACGGCAGCTTCAACTCTGGAGGAGACGGCGGCTTCAACTATTGAGGAAACGGCAAGAAGCAACGAAGATAGTGCTGGATAAAAAGGTATGTATGTTTAGCTGAGCTAAAAATGAACAAAATCTTATTAACAATTATTGCTCTTCTACGCGATTCTCACAAACCGAAGTAAGTTTAAGCAAGCACCCTGCGTTTTTAATCTAACACTATCTCTTCTCTTCTGTTCTTTTAGTGATGGGCTTATACAAAAGTTCGTTTCCGGCCTATTGAAGGATAAAGTTATGTGAATATACAGGTAAGAACTTATATATAAACAAAAATATACATTTTACAAATACGTATATAAACGCAAAGATATTAGGAACGATAAGAGCTAGAGACTTGAAATTTTAGGTGTGGGTCCTCCTAGTCCATGCGCAGATCGTGTTTTTTTCCGATAATCGTTAACTTACTCAGTTTCCATTTCGACATCAAAATCGTGTTTTTTGACCAAATTGGGTAAATTATAAGAGCTAGAGCCACCAAAAGTGATATGTTTACTCTAGAATAGTATATTCATATAATTAAGTTTTACACGTATAGTTACTTTCAAAAAATATATTTCAATTCTTTATTTTCACTAAGGGCTACATTTTATATTGAGTACATTCAGATTTGCCTCCCGAATATGAACTTATTTTCTATATCTTGCAGTCGCTTAGCAAACTTTGCTTTGAGAGAGCTTGAGTCAAAATTGAGTGAAGTTTGAGCTGCGTCAGGAAATATGCGTAGGATGGTACTATGACGGGAACATTGACAGTGGCGTGATATTACGAGTGAACTGTTTATGTCCAGCAAAGGGGGACAGTTTGATCTTGACCAATGTCGATGTGTGCTAACTTATGTTAAAGGGTGGGTGCGACTATGGATATGTCACTATATATATCAATTATCTTTCTATTTATACCTATCGCCACCTTCCCGCTACTACCTCATAGCTATAAATTAAGTTAATAACCCAACTTGTATTGCCCACCAATTTAAGCAACAATAAGATTTACTGTAGAAAATTTCATTAACATCGGTTAAGAAACACGTGCTTGCGGCAGCTAGCGCATGTACACACACACATTCATGCGCGTCTGCTTCGAATTCTATCAGCAACATTGTGATTGCGATTGTATTCTTTTCTGTGCTACTATTTTAATTCACTACCGAGGAAACGCTCTTTTTTGTGGCTGTTGAGTAAAGAAGGCGGCAAGTAATGCCGTTAGTTGCGAGTTCGAACCCTGCCAAGAGAAATTATATTATTTTTTAATTTATTTTTGTTACTACTAAGGCAAAAAATAGGAGGATTTAGGGTATCCCCTAGTCGATAGTTCCCGACTAGAACCTCTTACTTGTTGTTTAACTATTTTGGTTTAAGACACGCTTTAAATAAAGCAATTAAATGGAATTCCGACTTCGAAGCGGTTCGATTGTAGCCCGCTTTGCAGTCTTGTGGCCTCAAGAGCATGCAATTCTATAGAGTTGTTTTTTATTCTTCTACTAATAGCTCAAAAATATTTCAATTAATCATTTAACATTGTTGGATCCGACGACTCGCCTAAGCGTGCTTAAAACAAACGAAGAAACTGCATTCATTTATGTGAAATGTATTTAAAACAAATGCGTTGCTCCAACTTAATGATATTTTGTTACACATGACCAAATAGTATGCACTCTCTTTTTTTTGGTTTTGCTTTCTGCAGTTACATTCGTTTATAAGTCTCTGAGATGGTATGAGTATAAACTTTATGGCATGGCAGATGCCAAAGACGACTGAGACCAAAGCGTAAGCAAGGCAGTCGGTGTCAATGGCCCCCAAGGCACACGCATTGGCGGCAATAACCACAACACCACCATCAACATCTACAACAATAACAACAAGAGGAAGAACTACAAAATGAACAACAACAAATAAGGCGGCGAAGGCGCCGAAGCAGCAGATACCCTGTACTTGTGGGGGACTTAACGAACTACAGTTGAACTATAACGAAATAATACTAAGAAGTATCTAGACCCAGTTTTGAACAGCATGTGTTTAAGCCAGGAACTGCCATTTCTTTATCTATCATAAACCGTTCATAAGCCAGTTAAGTGAGATTCGGAAAGCCGAACATTTAACTAAACCGAACCGAATATATATATTTTGTATTTGGTTATATTTTTGCAAGACCTTAAAGTTAGTTTGATAAGAAGGAAATTGTAAAAATAATAAAAGCAATAATTATTACAAATTCAACTGTTATATAGAAACCCAAATTCAAAATTCTGGAAAACCAAGTTCACGAGTCGATCCTTTAAATAAGAGACTAATATTATTAATATAGATATATATTCATCTATTCATATATACACGAATAGTTGCGCTTATCAGCAATATAGTTATCATTTAAATAGTCAGAGCATTCGCTTGTAATGCAATTTTGTAGCATGCAGCTTTGCCCAATTACAGGGTATATTAAAAACAACAACATCAAGTACTTGCCAGATATCTTTAAACTGAGCCGCGCGCGCGCGCCAAGTGCTAATGAAAATTCCGAGCTGCGGCAGCAACAAGAACAACATTAAGTACCCAGATTCCGTGTTGCAGTTGCACAGCTGTGCATGCCACAAGCACACACACACGCATACACACAGACACACATGCGTGTTTGTGCACTTATAAATAGGAAAGACAGATGCAGTGGGTACTACCTCAAATAAAGTGGCCAGCCTTGGAGTTTATTGCATCACTTGGGCAAAGAGTTTGGACGACGCCAACTTCGACAGCGATAAACAAAAGTGGCTTTTGTATTGTACTGCAGCAGAGGCGAAGACTTTGATAGATGTTATATTCCCCAACAATAAATGAGTGTATAAATACATGCAATACGCATTTAGTCCGGCTCGCATTTAAATGCATATAAATTTTGAAAACAAGTTGAAAATTTATGCACATCCCACACAGTCCCAGGGCGATCCAAATGGGATCTTAGGCAAGCACAAGCATAAATAACCATACATAAGTGTTTATTATAATATACGTATATTTATAGAGTGGAAACAACATAATGCTATCCCGGCTAATCTGAGACTCATGACAATTCTATCAGTTGCATAATCTCCATTGAATTATTGCCGTTGCAAGCCATAAAGCGAGCTCGTTACATTAATAGTCGGATCTTTGAACAAAATTATTTTTATATATTTTGTTATTTTATTATTTTCACATTATTTGAGGTTAGGCTTGCCGTAAAACGCAATGGCCGCCGCGTCAGAGTTGCCAGGCTTTGCAAGCCTGGGTATTCGAAAGCTTAGTAACGAGTCGCGGCTGTAACGATTTATCGGCATCGATTCCAGTTACTGGTGATATCGATTGTAAGCAAACCTGCGTTTCCCTTGAATATGTGTATTTGACATGTAAAAACTCAAGGATATTCTAAAAAGACGACAAAAACCAACAATAACATTATTATTATTCTTATTTGCCTAATGACTGCTTAAAAGTCACCTAATATCGATTGTTTTTTACCTCATCAACTCTAGCCACGTGGCAGCTTTCATATATGAAGCTTCGTGGCTTGACATTCAGTTTCAGCTCGTTCAGTTCAAATTCTCAACTTTAATGAAACGTATCAAAAAGAAAAGAACAAATTTAAGAAAATGAGCTATGGCTGCTTTCTATGGCTTAAATCTGAAGCCATACTGTAAGTATGTGCAAGTGGTATCAAAGGCATTTCACATTTCGACCGTTGCACTGGACGAGGGGGATTTTGTCAAGTTTTATTTAACAATCCACAATCGGAAGTTTGCGGTGGCGACTCTGAGCAAGTCCATTCCGCAAGCGGTGTTAGACTTGAACTTTAGCCGCGGCGATGAATTAATTTTTGAATCGATTGGCAATGGTACGATGTCCATACTTGGCTACGTGCATGACGGCCATGACTCGGATGACGACTCATTATATGGCGAAGCAGGTCCAGATCATACGGACACTTCTGTGACAGCACGCAACTGGTATGCCAGTGGAGAAGACTACTCTCGTGACGATACCGACAACGGTATGGACATGGACCACGATGAACGAACCTCAAATGGTGGGCAGTACCTTAACCATGGGCACCCCCACAACGAATGGCCGACCGACAACCTTGTGCAATCCGACGAAGATGTGGATTCTGTCACCACTAGGCAGTCGACAGCCGATAGGCAGACTGACACCGATAGGAGATCTTGCCAAGATGACCCGTTGAACACCGACAACGGTGCGCTGTCCGACAACCTTGGGAGGTCAAACCGCGGTTGCCAACCGCACAACCATGGACAGTCCGACAGCGATAGGACTTCTTATACGGATAGTCATTCGGACCCCGATAGAAAGTCTATCTCCCATGGGAAGTCTGGTACCGAAAGGGAGCCTGACAGCAAAGGCTGGTCGAATACTGATAGGAACACTCACACTGGTCAATCCGAAACTGATGGTTATTCCGACACCGATGGGACATCTTCCACAGGTAGTCACTCGGACCCCGATAAGAAGTCCGTCAACTATGTGAAGTCAGAGAACCTTAGAATTTCTGACAACAATGGATTACCCGCAAACCTTAGGTCAAAAAGTAATGGCCAATCGGACAATCCTGAGCATTCCGACACCGATGAGCAGTCTGGCAGCGATAGGACATCTTACACCGAAAGCCATTCAGATTCAGATACGAAGTCTACCGCTCATGAGCAGTCTGCAACGAATGTACAGGATCTGAAGTCGGAAAACCACGCGACCACACAATCAGAACAGTCTGACAACGATGGAGACTCTGAAACCGATAGGACATCATACACTGATAGTCACTCGGACACGGATAGGAAGTCTATTACTTATTGGCAGTCTAGCACCGATGCTCACTCTAACGCCGGTAAGAAGTCGATAACAGATGGCCACGCTGACAGCGATGGTAGGTCTGACAGCGATGGGAACTCTGACACTGCTGGAAAATCTATCACTGATGGCCAGTCTGAAACTGTTGCGCCGGCTGACAAGGATGTAAGGTCGGATAACAATATGCCATCCGACAAGCTAAGGATATCAAACAGCGTTGACCAATCAGACAATTACTTGCAGGCTGACAACGATAGGGAGTCTGACGGCGATAGGACGTCTTACACGGATAGTCACTCGGATACCGATACGAAGTCGATCACTCATGGTCTGAAAATCGAAAAAATCGATGGAAAGTCAATCCCAGCTGGCCACTCTGACACCGATAGTAGGTCTGACAGCGATGGACAGTCCGACACGGATAGCAAGTCTTACACCGATAGTAACTCTGACATCGATAGAAGGTCTACCGCCGATCGCCAATCTGACACCGATAAGAGATTTGACACCGATGTGCAGGCAGCGGACAACGATCTGAAGGCAGAAAGCCTTGGGAAGTCCAACCACGAAGTGAAGTCTGACAACCTTTGGAACTCAGACAAAGATGGACAGTCCGAGAAAACGAAGCACTACAACAATGAAGAATATAACGGAGGACAACATAACGCTACAGAGCACAACAATGCACAGAACTACTATATACCTCAGGTCCATTACGGCGAGCAAACCGGCTACGGTGGACAGAGCGACAACGCTAGACAGTACCATGCTGCACAGTACGATATAACGTATAACGACGGACCCTATAACAGTGGGCCTTATAACAGTGGACCGTATAACGGCGAAGAGTTGATATATGAGCCGTATTTCGGTGAACCGTATACCGGTGAGCAGTATAACGTTGGACAGTATGACGATGAACATAGTAAAGGTGGACCGTATAACGGTGGACGGTATGAGGGTGGACACAGCGACTACAGTGGAGATAGTGACTCCAGTGCACAAAGCGATTCTGATGGACAGATCCAATTAGGCAGACAGAGTGAACAAGGCGACAATGGTAGACAGTGCAATAATGGACACGGAGTCACCGATGGAGAGCATAAGGTCGCAGAACAATATGACTACAGTAAACAGATTGTATGCAATGGGCAAAAGGATAACGATAGACAGTTTGACCATGATGGACAAAGCGACGACGACGCTAAAGACAGCGACTACAGTGACCAGATCGACTACGGTAGTCGGCTCGACTACGGTGGACAATACAATTATTGTGGCCAGTACGATTACGGTGGACAGGTTGCCTACGGTGGAAGGAACGCCGAGAATACTTCTGATATTCAGTGGTACCCTGCCACTGAATCTGAAGTAGTGCGGTTCGCCGCACGAGAGCAGAAGGACGACAGCGTCGCCAGCGAAAACAGGACTGATGAAAGCGAAGCGAAAGAGATATCTAACGCTGATGAAGATTATTCGCCACCACCGCCAAAAAGAGCCAAGGCACCAACACCGACCGCTACAAAGGAGACGTTGCTGCTACCCATAGATACGGTTAGAACGGAATTGTGTGATGAGCTGCCCGAATAATGGACAGCTTGCCATATGTCCATATGATCGTAGGTATATAAACAAAGCATATAAATTACAAGAATAGTACATTTTGCATTTTCAGAAGGATCTGTAAAGGAAAATTAAGCTAAGAATTGCAATTGTGTTTTAGCCACAAGAATCTGGATGCCCTGCAATAGCATCTGTGATGGATCTCTCAGATATAAATAATATACGTTTATCATATTATATATTAAATTATTATACACTTAATGTTATTTACGTGCGTGCTGCCCCAAATCCCACTTAGACCTCATGGACTGTGTGCGATGGGCCTGAATGTGCAATTTGTTTTTCAAATTTGTTCGCATTTAAATGCAAATTCAGTTAGTTTTGTTATTAAGTATATAAAAATGGTATATTTTTTATGTGCATTTAAATATATGCACTCTGGCAAGCGGCCAGAGACACTAAGTTTGTGTCTAAAAAAAAATTCTGTTCAAATCGAAACAACTTATTTGTATTTGTATTCAAATTCTCATCAAATTTTTCGTTTGAATGTAAATTGTAAAAAAAAAAAAGAAGAAATATAAGAATTTTCAAATAGTTTTCCGTCTGAATCGACTTATTTCTCTAGATTTATTTGAAATGTGAGATGCTTTTGTTTTAACAAAAAAAAAAAAGAAAACGATTGCTTAATTTTTTAATAGCTCCTGCGTCTGAAACGTGGTCCTCGGAAAACAGGTGAAAAGTGAGCCGAAAGCAATTAGCAATGCAAGCTGTGACACCACCCACCCACCCACACACACACACACACACACACATAGGCATGAGCCCAGCGAATGGAAATAAACAACCAGCTGCAATTAAAGGAATTCCCATATTGGCACATTGTTTCCGCGCCTTCGACAGGCAACCCAGTCCGGTTTGGCATCCGAACTGGGTGCCAACTGAATGGAAGCAACTGCCTGAATGAGTGACAGCCTTAATTACAGAGAGATTAGCATAGCTGGGCAGACGGTCCACGGGCGCACGTCCCTGGCTCCAATGGGCTCAATGGCTCAGTGGTGCGCGGTGGATGATGCTTGTCGTTGGTTGGCTGGCGGCACAGACGAATTGTATTCAATGTCACGTTTCATGACGATGACGCTGCGGCCTTAGATGATAAAAAGAGAGAGAGCCGCACAGGTGGGTGCCGCTGCCAAAGGCTGCCAGCCGTATCCCGGATACTTACCTGCCTACCTACCCACCTGACTGCCTGGCCATGCCTTGCAGTTGCTTCTGCCTACTGAGGCTGCTCCTTGGCCGCTTTTGTTACATTTGATTGTCGCAAACGAAGTGGAAAAGTAAATGTTACACACACACACACACACACACACACACCTACACATATGCAGCATAACGGAACTGCACACTAATTACTTACTCCTTGGCAGCAGGAGAAAGGAACCCTTTTTACTTTAACGCTTCTATGCCTTGGCCATTTACACTCTTTATTTGCCTTTCATTCTCTTGATTTTGTGCGTTCTTTTTTTTCCATCTTCTATTTTATTTTTTTTTTTTGCAAGCGATAATTGAAAAGCAGCAGCAGAAATTATTGGCCTTTGTTTGCGCGCACGCTGCAAACGGGCCACGGGCCACGGGCCACGGGCCGCAGGCGGCGGGCGGCGGGCGGCGGGCGGCGGGCGGTGGGTGGCCTCTCGTCGGCCAGACGGGGGAAGTGGCTGCAGGCGCATGGCAAAAGTCATTCAGCCAAGTTAAATACATACAATAGGACTCGAGCTACAGATACATTCAGCTAATATCGTTTTAATGGAAATGGAAAAATTAATAAGTCGCCATACTGTGCGCCATGAGCAATGACAACAGAACTCAATTAATCCAGAAATATGAGTATTTTTGCGTATTCGTAAATACCTTTCATTTTTGTTTTGCTAAGAAATTCTAATTGAATATACATACATATGTACATATGGAATGGACACTTGTTTCCTCAATATGAATATGTTTATAACAACTGTCTTAAAGGCTATCAAACCTTATCAAATTATAAATGAAACCAACAGCTTCGGTTAGCTCAATTAAATGCCTATTTTTGAGGTTAGGTTAACTTCGTTTTATACATTTCACTTTAAAATAATAATGCACATTAAATCCCTCTGCCATTAATAATAGATTTTAATTGTTTCCCAATCAAGTAAAGCGATTTTTTGTATTTTAATGGCGTCTGTCGATTTGCATATCGTTCTGTGAAATCATAACCTCAATGTTTTAGCTGCGCACGCAAAGTTGTACCAAAACATGTCGTAGCACCAAAAAAGGCATAAAAACATTAGCTAATTGCGTTGTTATTCCAATTCCTGTCACACACACACACACACACACACACGCGAGCGCGCGGACACACACACATGCAGACGCTCACATGCACTAAAATATAAGCAAAACAAAAGTCAAATCTTGGCAAAATAAAAGCAAGAGAGACAACAGCAGAGGTGAGTAGTCCCCTGCCGAAATGTCATTGCATTTGTTCGCTCTCATTACTGTTGTTGTCGCTGTTTTCGTTAGTGTAACAGCATTTGTTGGAAATTCAATTAGTGCGCGTGAACACGCAGCTCAACACACCCAGTTGGACATATATAGCAGATATAACAGCTCCCAAGATAAGGGAATAGTGGTGAGAAGTTTTTTTCAGAGTTTTGTTTTTCTTAAAATAGTGTATTGACAATCTTTAGTTTCAGTATACATATACAGCTCTGTATATAACTTTTGCATATATGGATGAGACTTTTTTTCCTTATCAGATATAATGTATATCCGTCAAGGTCAACGTTTTTGCACCCTCGAAATTCCTTCTGGGGAGGCCAAGCACACATGCATAGATAACCAAATGCATGGAAATGAGCACATTTCTTAATTAACCTCTATACGTGGCCCAAATCTTTTTTGTCTCATTACCTTAGATTTGGCATGTGAGTGTGAATGTATTTCCCAAAGGCACTTCAGACTGTGCGGAAAAGTGTACGTATTGTTTGTGTTTGATTTTATTATTCGAAAAATTACTTTCAATTAGTTGTTACTAATACAGATAATTTCGCAAAATGCAACTAATAGCAGTTAATCAGCTTAAATAATTAATTTTTGCATTTTGCATGTACGCGCGCGCAGAACAGATTTTAAATTTGCGCTCAAAGCTTGAGTGAATTTAAATTATAACAGTTGAGCACAAATGTAAGCTAGCGTTGCCACTTATTAGCGTTGCCACATGACAGTGCGAACTAAGCACACTCTTATCGGCACTACAGTGTTGCTATTGCATCGATTGCGTAGAAATGCCATAGAGAAAATCGATACTCCAAGGCCATCACTAACATTTGGCAAAGACGCTAAACAACGCAAAAGCAAAAAATGAAAATTTCACATTAACTTGCGTCAAAAAAATAGTTAAAAGCTGTAAAAAAAATAACAGCTGCATTAAACACAGCCAATATTATTGATCATCCGTGCAGCAGTGAAGTCAGATTAAGACAACAACAAAAATAAAGTCAACAATAAAAAGCAACGCGGCAAATCGTGTAGAAAGAATTGTCCCAGTTGCTGAACGAAGAAGTGGAGTTCGGAGAGTATTGAGCGCAAGTCAACAACGTAAACAGTTGGATAAAATGCACAGCCACTATTAATACAACATAAAAGTGGCGTTGGTTTCGGATTACCCAAATTACGAACGGAATTTCTTACAAAATATGCAAGTAAGTTCTGCCCGTTCTTTCAATATTCAATCAAATCATTTACTAACCATACGAGGCTTGCAGCAAGCGGACGACCCACCATCGCTGCCCGTGGGCACTGAGGTGAGCGCCAAATACAAAGGAGCATTCTGTGAGGCCAAAGTCAGTAAAGTAGTGCGCAACATCAAAGTAAAGGTAGCCTACAAACAAGGTCTCGGCTCGGGTATCGTATCGGACGATGCCATCAAAGCGCCGCCAGGTCAGCTGCGCGTTGGGGCCATTGTTGAGGTGCGTCATCCGGATCGCAAGGAGACAGTAGAGGCGACCATAACCAAAATTCAGGATTGCTCCCAATATACGGTCGTATTCGATGATGGCGACATTACGACGCTGCGTCGCACGGCGCTATGCCTAAAGAGCGGCAGGCATTTTAATGAGAGCGAAACCTTGGATCAACTGCCGCTAACACATCCGGAGCATTTCGGCAATCCAGTAGTAGGCGGTCGACGCGGACGTCGACGAGGTCAACTGAATGATGGCAGCTCTGATGACGATGACGAGAGCGATGCCAAAGAAGTGGTCAACGAGAAGGAGGAGAACATTGGCAAGGTTGTTTGCGTTGAGACCGAGTCCAAGAAAAAGGACAAAGAGAAATGGTTTCCCGCGCTGGTTGTAGCTCCCACAGCGCAGGTTAGTAAGCAGGTAAGTAAAAGCCAATTTCATGCTAAAGTTTTGCATTTAACCTGGTCCTAAATTCAGTCCCAATCCAAAATATATTTAACACGCATTACAATTTACAGGCCACAGTGCGCATACGCGTCAAGGACGAATATCTGGTGCGCTCGTTCAAAGATGGACGCTACTACACGGTGCCCAAGAAGGAAGCGAATGAGTTTACACGTGAAATGGCCAGCAAGCAGGATGTGCCCGCTGTGCAGGCGGCCCTCGAGTTTCTCGATAGTAGCAAATTGCCCGCCCATTGGGATCGCGACTCCTTGTTCGGCCTGTCCAATTTAACCAGCGATGATGAGGGCGAGATCGATTCGGATTCGTCGGATGATGAGCCACACGAGGAGAAGGATCTATTTGTGGCACAGCTATACAAATATATGGACGACCGGGGCACACCGCTCAATAAGGTGCCATCCATACAAAGTCGCGATGTGGATCTCTATCGCCTGTTCCGGGCTGTGCAGAAACGCGGCGGTTACAATCGAGTGACCACCAAAAATCAATGGAAAATGATTGCCATGCGCCTGGGCTTTACGCCGTGTACTTTGAGTGTTATGAATCTGGTGAAGCAGGCATATAAGAAATTTCTTCAGCCGTATGGTGATTTTCATCGTAAGCTCGGCTGCTCCATGCTGATGACATCCCGCAACTCCAATCGCAGCAAAGGCCGCAGTCTAGTGCGCGCCAACTCGGTGGCCTCACCCAAGCCGGCTGATACCACCAAAATGGAAACCATAAGTAAACTGGCAATGGCTAATCAGACAACTGTTGCTGCAAGCAGCGTTGGCGCCACCACGTCTGCGGCGGCAGCAACAGCAACAGCTGCAGCAGCTGGCAGTAGCGGAAGTGCGACGGCTGCAACCCCCGTACGCGCCGCCTCAACAGCCTCACAATCAGCAGCTGAGGAATCGGAAAACACCAGCGAGTCCAGCGTGGTCGTCGAGCCGGTGAAGAAACAGCGCAAAGCATCCGCCGCCAGCAGTGGCAAAGTCAAAAATCTAGTGGAGAAATATGAGGAGAAGTCAGCCATATC